ATGATGATGATGATGGTGATGATGATGATGATGATGATGATGATGATGATGGTGATGATGACGATGTATGGTGATGATGACGATGTATGATGATGATGATGATGATGATGGTGATGATGACGATGACGATGATGACGACGTATACAACTGGACCGTAAACTATAACTGAACTCCAGCTCACCAACTCTAGCCGATCAGCACCACACGATCACGATGGCAACCCGCTCAACAACAGAACTGCGAATCGCACTTGCTCACTGAGCAACACTAGAGTTCATAAGTTATACACACACATATATATATATATCACGGAATGCACGCACACACACACGTGCTCAAGCCTTCATCAGCGACGAAAATATGGATGTAAGATCACAAGTAACTGCCGAGTAGTGCGGGGTCGGCGGAATGTTCCATCCACGGGTGTAGGATAACACGACACCTCACGGCGCGATAGACAGATAACACGCAATCGCCCTCGTGTACCCACCACACACGCACGCAAACGCACGCACACACAGTAGCGGAGGGTCGCTGTGTAGGCTCGCTATAAATGGGTTTACACTATCAACGTTTACTTGACGTACGCTGCACCGTGTGCATCTATAGTTGCTGATCTGATACACATAGACGATTCAAAGCGCTAACAACACCTAGTATTATCATAAGCTCTTGATGATACGAACATACACGTATATCGCACGACCGCTGACGGCAGCAAGACAAGGAGACCGGTAGTCAGGTAATGGCGGCCACCTCACCGCTTGCCCCGTGACCCGCCCCCGCCGGTAGACAGCAAAGACAGATGGATCATCGGCTGCTGCTTACGTAGACTGTCCCCTATACTAGTACTATACTGTATACTGGGTAAATCCGCAGGATGTGTGGAACACTCGTGACGAGCGCTCAACAGGCGGATACTGCGCGCTGACGACACCGACAAACTATGAAGGATCACTCGAGACTAAAATCTCTCACGCACGCGCGCATGTAGTCAGTCCTGCACACATCAACGGGCCGTGCACAATAGCAGAGGGTCGACTGGGTGGTGCCACGAATAGTGTGGAAACAGCTAGTGTGAACCAGAGATCGGCGTATGTTTAGAAAACTCCGGGGATTGCAGACGGCAGTGTGAGAGAGGATGCTGAGGGTGAGGACAGGTCTCTGCTGGCAAGCAGCCAAGCACTGTAGAATTCCAGGGAAAAGCCACTAGTCGTTTATGGGGCGAGCAGCTGTGGCTTCTACACCCTGCACGAACCCACCCGCTGCATTGTAGGGCACACAGCTCCGATAGCAGCACCGGTCGATATACGGGGAGTGGGTACAAATATAGAATTACTCCACACCCGGCGCCCGCACAATAAACTTTCACTATAATAATAGCAGATGGCGCCACACGCGACACGTTCATTTGCACACGCATATTACCAAGAGTAGATAATAGGAGATATCATTATCTTCTATTATCTACTCTTGATATTACGACGAGCTAATAATAGCTTGATGATACTGCGATCACTGAGGTCACAGGCACTTGGAGCGTTTCTATAATGCTAAATAAATACGAAATCTATTTACTACCAAAGTCTTAATGTTTTCTACTCTCTTTCGCCTATTATTGCAGACAATTTCCTGTACATTTCGTGCAAATGCTCCTCTGCAACACACATGTCCACCGCGCGCACGCTGCCGCACACTGACACATAAATATAGACTCTATATTTAGCATTATATTTTATTGAAACGCTCCAAGTGGCTGTGACTGAGGTGCGCACTGATGCGGTTGCCCCAGGAGGAGGGGGAGAGGGAGAGAGAGAGAGAGAGAGAGAGAGGCCGGCACAGTGATAGATAGAGAGAGCACGAGCGCGTGCGAGTGAGTGAATGCGAGAGAAAGAGAGGGGGAGGAAGAGGAAGGGAGAGTGAATGCGAGAGAAAGAGAGGGGGAGGAAGAGGAAGAGAGAAAGATAGAGAGCTTTCCGTATCACAGCACAGACATGATAACTGGTCGTGAATAGAATTCATTGGCACTCTGGTATAGCAATCGGGGAACAGCAATGCAAACGGATGCAGCAACTGCACAGTGGTAGTAAGTAGTAAGGCTTGCGAACATTTGTAGAGGTTACAGATCCCGTTACGCTGAAGGGGTCGTTGTCGTATATGTAGTACCCGAGGTGTCGGCGAGTATGCCGCCTACGCCTACTCCTTAACCCTAATCCTAACCCTAACCATATCAGCTCATTACCTCGGGTACATATTATACGCCATTATACGAACACGACCCTTCGTGCGCAACTGTAGGAGCCGTGAGAACAGAGGTAGAGTAGTTTTCGACATAACTGCAGACTGTAGCCCGTGTAGCACATATGGTGGCTGAATATTGGGTACTAACTCCAAAGAGCATTTGCGAAATGGATATGCGGTTACATTATGTCAATAGTACATAATAGAGATATCTATCATGTACTCCTGATTATGTCTACAGAATATATTTGCACTAGAACTCTGCTATCTCTCTCTTTCTCTCCCCCTCTCTCTATCTATATATCTATCTATACCTCCTCTCTCTCTGTGCGTTTGCGTTTGGTTTAAACTTTAAGGCAACACAAGTGTGGTTTGCGTGTGGTTACCGTTAAGGTTTAAGCCCACACGTGAGCCGGCAGTTATTTTTTAGCGACCAATTAAAAACTATGGCTACTGTTCACTTCATCGTACGTGCTAAGCAAGGCATATGGAAAAAAGATGCAAGAAAACATCTTACAGCACGACGCTGCTATTTGACGACTTCATTAAATTCAAACGTAATTTTGCCGAGCAGTCAAAAACGATTTCGCTATTTGTGTTCGCCACTTTGTGTAGTGAAAGCGCCACTGTTATTTATTTATCGCATTTTAGCAAACGCCAGCGGCGTAGTCCACTGACAAGCCTATTTGTCTCCACGAATTACTTGCTCCACGTATGTACAGTACAGCAGTAGCGCTTCCATCAGCTACTGGTTTTACTCCCCACAGCTTTTGCCAGAGTGGTTAATAATGCAGTAAAACTCGCTAGCTACTCAGTGTGCAGTATACAGTATGGTGTGTTACTTTATTACAGATCACAGCAGATAGAATGTGATGTTACTGATCACAGAATACAGACTGTGATGTGGCTCACCACAGCATATATTCTGTGGTGTCACTGAGCACAGCATATATTCTGTGGCGTTACTGAGCACAGCATATATTCTGTGGTGTTACTGAGCACAGCATATATTCTGTGGTATTACTGAGCACAGCATATATTCTGTCTGTGGTGTTACTGGG